AGGTAATTCTGAATAATGTCCCTGTCGGCCCCTCATACACACACCTATTCTGCTGCTCCTGCTGCAGAAGCTGAACGGCAATCTTCCTCAGATCCAGCACCTCCTTCAGCTCATCATCCTCTTCCTCAACTAGCTGCTCCTTATCAGAACTGTGAAAAGTTAAGTAAGTATTTATTATCACCAGAAATTGTACAAAGTGTAGCTTACATGACATTTTTGGCATAACATAATAGAGAAGCGAGCATTCCACATCACCTAAACAATAAATTCAGAAAGCCTCAGTACAGTTGTTAAAACACTAAAACTTCTTTGACTTAGTCATTTGTATGTAAACAAAATTATGTAATCTAAACATATCCACGTTAAATTAGTTGTTGTTACTAAATCAAGGCTGCACATGATAATCATTTTGCAGTCTAAACATCACAAAATACTGGCAGATGTTTTAAACTGATACACAACTTGCACAATGAGTGACGGCTGCTATCTGTATTTGCAGCTGGTGATTCAAGGTGCATTGTGCACTAGGGGTTTCCCTTCTAGTTGACTGCTTGAGCTGGCATCTACTGTAACCATTAGTCAGTGCTGTGTGACTCATTATGGAAAATGTTTTGAAATAGCTGATTTGTGACCACCTTATATACTTACAAACCCCTTTTTTCTGTACACAAGTAGTATGTATTTTCACAATTAGGGTGAAATAAAAATCTTTTCCAAAATGTGAAAAACAGCAGATGCAGATCTGTAACTGTAAACTTATCCAGGTTGTTGGCTAGTCTATTATTGTTTTTGCAGTCTTTGCAGTCAAGAATAATTTGCATGGTTTTTGTAAAGAATGAGACAAAAGTGTCTGGTACAAGACGTGCCGGTTGTTTGTTTGTTTGCTGTACTGACTAACAAACTCACCCAGACTCCTCTTTCCAGCTGTCTTTATCTTTGCTTTGGTGAGACATGTTAAGAACTTTCTCCAGTTCCTAAAACACACACACACACACACAATGTCAGGAACCAATAACCAGAATTTTATCTCCTGTGGACCTCCTACTGTTATGTTTGTAATCATCCTTTTAATAAACAGATTGATTCATACCTTAATACAAGACACATGACTGCTCTGCTGCCCATCAGACTCTGACAGAGCAGGATCCTCATCGGGGTTGGGCTCTATAAAGTCATAGAGATCCTGATCTGATAGAGGGAGGAAGCATCCGCGTTCATCAAATAAACTGTTAAATTTTAGGCACTTCATTCAACAACCCCCGAGTCTCTGTTATTGCTTTCAAAGGGAATATGTGATACTTATATTCGGTAACCTTTGCAAGAATCCATTTTGGAGAGGAGTGAAAGGGCATCCGCACGGGCTGTCTCTGAAACCTGTGAGTGCAGGCTGACAGTGTCATCATCTGAAGGCTGCAGGAGAAGAAAAGAACGAGGAGTGAACTATAAGTTGGGTTCAGATGGGCTTATGTGCTGGTCTTTGAACCTGCATCTTAGAATTCCTATTCTAAATATATTTTTATAGAAATGTTTGCGTGTAGTTTTCATTTTAAAGGACCAGTCTGTATGATTTAGTGGCATCTAGCAGTGAAGCTGCAGATTGCAACTAACTGAACACCACTCGTGTCTGTATTTGACAACCTGGAAATGAGAACAGGCTGTATGCAGGAGAATGCAACAGGCTCTCTTTACAGCCAGTGTTTGGTTTGTACATTCTGGGCTACTGTAGAAAAATAGCAGACTACATGGAAGGCGAACCCTGGTGTCTGTAGATAAAAAACATCTAATTTTAAAGTAACAAAAACACAATGGTTCCTATATTCAGGTGATCATACATATTATTAAGGATTGTGGTGCAGGATATGCATCACACTTTCACCTAAAACCCCCTCTACTTTATCTGCGTTATCTTTCCATTGTTGACTTTGAGATCATAGGGTTGATACAACCCTGAGCGTCTAGCCAGACATACCTGTGTGAATTTGACCATATCAATTTTTGAATTCTTGCCAGATGTTCTACTACTTAGTTGTCATATTTGCCATTATTTTGTCTAGTCTGCCAATATTTTCTTAGCACTTAAAGCAGCGCTTAAACTTCGCTTAACACACCGTTAGAAAAGAAAGAAAATACCACACGGTGTACTTTGACATTTATGTATTTCAAAATGTTCTGGTAAGTAGTAACACACAATAACGTGCTCATCATGCACTGGCAATGCCATCAGTTAATGTTGAGTGTTTTAACACCGACCTCAGTTGTAGACAGCCTCTTGTCACCATTGTCACTACCAATTCCAGAGTCAGGGCCATGGTTCTTACTGGGATAAAAATCTTCCATGCTGGATATATGCAAAAACAGAACAACTCATTAGGAATCCCAGATAGCATACCATGAAGGCATGAAGGAACAGAACCGTTGCAAAAGTAGGTGCATTGTGTGTTATTTTATCAGTACCTATCTGTAAGTGGCTGTGGGAGGCAACGTTTGCCGAGGGAGGGGAGGTCCAGGGTGTCCGGCTTCTTGTCCATCCTACATGCCTGGATGTTCAGGTACTTGAATATGTGCACTTTGCCCTTCAGACAAATCTGAAATATACAAATAGAGTTGTTCTAACAATTACAAAGAAAAAATTGTTCATTCATCCACTAGATGGTGCAGTTGCACCAGGTTGAGTAAGGAGTGAGGGACATGACGTATAAACCACATACGGGAAATCTTTAAAAAAAACATTGGTGCTGCATGTTGACACCATATACATATTTGATGTCCACATATTATGCAAAAACACAGTTATGAGATAAATGCACTTACCTGTGCGGGTGGAGACTGCATAGGATTGTTGTCTAGAATGATGTGCTGCAGCTGCCTGAGCTTCCTGTAGGCTGCAGGAATCTCTGTGATCTTATTGCAGGAAAAATCAAGTCGAATGAGAGGCAGGTCAGCCAACTCTGCAAGTACAGACGAGAGGAGTTTCAAAAACATCTTTAGTTGAATGTGATGAAATGCAGAACATATTGTAGGCTTTGTCATGCTGGCGGATTAGACCTACTCAGTTCGCTGCAACATCCTAAAAACATAATATTTCTCGACAAAGACTACTCCAGTTTAGTATTTGTAGCTCTATAAAGTTAATGCAGCGGAGGCCGAGATATCCTGACTTGTTTTTGTCAGTCAAGTTTCAAAAACTCTAAATCCTGCAATTCTAAACTCTAAACTCTAACTAAAACCCGTAATGCAACTCAATCGTGTTATATTTTTTAAATGTAATTCACTCTAATTCATGCAGACAAAAAGAATAGGTATCCACAACTACTTTTATGACCACTTCATACCAAGCTTGGTTCATTATATTGCCTAAACACACTTGCCTAACAAAGGTGCTTAGCAACCAGTGCAGTAGTACTCAAATCCAGTCTCGGACTTGTCTTGGACTCATTGGTATTTGCACTCAGTCTTGGCTATTTGTCTCACCAAATATTATAGTTGGTCTCAACCAAGTCCAGCAATTTATGTTTTTTTCTGAAGTGAATTCCAAAACCTTTGATGAAGTGTGCTTGTTCAGAAAATGGGTGTTGGTTTAATTTAAAATCAACCTACAGTGAGTATTGATATTAGCCGCCTCGTAACCATGTTTATAAGGAAGCCAATTTCAGCCAACTCCTTTGAAATGGAAAACGTTTTTTTTTTTTTGTGACTCTTGTTCTTGACTCGGCCTCGACGTGTCCTGGTCTTGGGATCGACAAAAGTGGTCTTGACAACAGCGCTGATTGCAACACATGCACTTGAGTCTGTTATCTTCAGAGGCTGCACAGTTTGTTGTGTTACAGTTCAGTATTGTTTAAGCATGGCCTAATATATTTTATTTTTATTTTATAGAGGTTTCCTTTGCTTCTGTTGTATAAGAGCAGTGCTTGCTACTTGTTGTTCATCTTCATCAACATGGTTTTACCTTCATTAATGGTAACATGACAGCCAACACAAAACAAACACTGCAGTGCTGTAATTGTTGGCTGTGAGACTATTATGTTTGCCACACCTAGTCAAACTAAAAAAGGAATGATAGATAGTTTAAAAGAATGGTAATAATTATCGCATCAGTTCTTGATATAAATTCCGGGGATATCTTGTTCAAGAAAATGGGATCGACAGACAACCTGAAAAGGTAATGCCCTTTGTGTTGGCAACAGTCATGGCTGAGATCATCGGCAGTGACAGACTGACCCTCAGGCAACATGTGAAGACAGTTCTTCCTGATGTTGAGTTCTCGTAAGGCTTGGAGCCTCCCCACCTGAGCTGGCAGCACCTGGATCTCATTACAGCTCACATCCTGCAAGGGGAGACAAAGTGTAGGAAATGGGATTACTCTGGCAGTACAATATGCACAAGTTCATATGCACTAACACATACACGCTGCTCACCAGTTCCATCAATTCTTTGGCCTTGCCGATTTCCTCTGGGATGGACACAAGCTTGTTGTTGCTCACAAGCAGAACTTTGAGGGGGAGGCTGAACAAGTATTTTGGCAAAACTGACAGAAGATTTCGGCTGTAGAGAAAGATAAAACATTGACCTAAATTTAAAACAGTATACAGAAGCATGTGAGTGTCATTGGGAATTGAGTTTCAGCAAAAGAGGAAATGCCTCTCTTTCATGTAAGCATTTTTCCCCTGTTAGTGTACTGAAATGGAGAACAAGCACTTCCTGAGAGATATAAAACCAAACACACTCATATATACAATTTTGTTGAATCTATATAATGAAACAAAGGAACCAAAACTGAAAGTGTTAGCAATGACCCACCTGATGTCAAGATAAGTCAGCATCTGCAGATTGATAATGGCTTCTGGGACGCACTTGATGCAGTTGTGGTAGAGGTTGAGCGACTCGAGGGGGGCGAACAGACACACTTCTGGTGGGATTTCTGTGAGGCGATTCTTGGACAAATCTGCAGGGTGGAGGAACAGGAGCTGATGAAATCTGTACACTTTGAACATACATACACATTATAATCTTTTCAAGATCTTGGCACTGTCCATTAGGTTTGCTTTAGGCATGAGGCCATAGGCTTGAAAGACTAATCAATATGTGTCTGTGACGGAGAGATGGGCAGTGCGCCTCTTCATCGAACACTAGTCTAAGATTACACCAGAGTCTTGCCTTGAAGTGCTTGTAGCAGTGTAATATCTCAGTATTTCCAATATCGATGTCACTGGGAGTGGCACAGTAATGGATTTAGATTTGTATGAATGGATCAAAAAGTGTTAGAACTCACTCCACATCTTTTCTTTTTTATGAAAGATCAGTTGCAAGCAAGAGAAGATAACAAATGGTAATAAAAAAGGGAGGTTTAAATGAATCAAATCAACAAATTTATCAAAATTCATCCTGAGGGAGACATTGTGTCCTGGCATCCAAACCAAAAATTGTTAAAAACATTTATTTGAAAACCAGAAATGTGAACCTCCACTGTAGGAGAAGTCAGGAGCTCACCAAAGCCAATAAAATTCATCCTCTGGGAAAGATGAATCTCTGGACCAAATTTCATTGCAACCCATCCTCTTGCAGTTGTTGAGATATTTCAGTCTGGACCAAAGCCATGGACTGAATGACAAACAGTACCATCTCTTGAGCCACGCCATGCGAGAAGCTAAAAGCACTGCCATATATTTTCCATGGATATTGAGATATAGTAAATCAAATATGTTGAAAAGAAAAGAAAGCATTGGCATGCATTGTAAAATCATCTTTCTATATATCCAAGGATATTTTCTACATTTATATTATATTTTTCAATAAATTATTACATTTGTTCCATGAGAAAGGTAAAGTTAGCTATATCAATAAAGGACCAGCTGGAATTAAAAGTGTAACACAGAACAGACCTGACCATAACTCATGTGCTCTGCTTTACTACTGAAGCTGCAAACTCACAGCCCTGCATTAATCAGCTAAGAGTGGGTGCTTCTAATCTGCAACAAGAATATGAATGTAATCCCTGCCCCAGTCAATGAAGATGAGCACAGCCTCTCATCTGCATCTGCCTCTCATGATAAAATATTTAGATACTGGCTCTCTTGCCCCAAGAGCGTCAGAGTAGAGGTGGTAGAGGAGGATGCTCAGGCAGATACTGATGGTTAAGCTCATTACATTTCCATACACACGCATCATGTACTAAATTTTAATATACATCATCAATCAGGCTCAATCCCGGAGGTCTACATGCCTTTGGATCACGCACAAAGCCGGAGTTAAGGCACATTATCCCTCAAGGCTACTGATTCGCTTGCACATCCCAAGACATTTCCATGCACACACACACACACACACAATTCCACACTATCTTTCTCTCATACTCTCTAAAGTCTGACAAAACAGTAGCCATTTAAACAGGAAACACAAGGATACATGGGGACTTATAAGAACAATACGTATAGAGGTTGCTTTACATCGACTTCACCTTCAGACACGTATTGATTCAGCAGCTGCAAATGGCGTGTGTGTGTGTGTGTTCGTCTCCGTATGTGTGTGTGAACGATCCTGTCTTCTGAATTATCTCTGGGTGACACAATAATTAGAGACCTATGTGAGGAGCTGCAGAGCCACAGATAAAAACAGCTTTCAATTATTCGGTCCCACCTAACTGAAGTCCTACATCCGTACTGTCAGAAAACCAAACCCTACTGCACCACCACCCCCTTTAATGCGTGCAATTACATATAGCTACCACCCTTTATTAGTCAATTAAGCTACATGGACTTTACTGTAACACTCGCTGACTTACTGTCAAGAGGTTTCTGTTTACCCTGGACAAATTAATATAAAGAATATACAAAATGACGTATCAGTAGCTTTTATTCAAATAGTGTAAATATGTAATCCTTACTCCCTGAGGTTATACGGCATCATGATTATAAAACTGTGTGTGAGTTGTGTCCGTGCCTTTAAATAGGCATATGCATTTTTTCTGACAAGGCTTACATGACTAACAACAGACCAGACAGGCCTCACTCTGTGTGCACTGACAGCAGCCAGTAAGCAGAAGTGAGAAGCAAACCATGAATCAGTCAGTGGCACAAAGGGAAAAGAAGTCGAGAGGTTAAGGGAAACAGAAATTAGCACATGGGGACGGACTAAAGCTGAGGTCACAGGGTATACTCATTTTCCATTAAGAGTAGATTTTGCCTCTCCCTGAGGCTCAGACCTTGATGCGGTAACCCAGCTGCACATAGACGACTTCCCCACCTCACTCCCTCCAGCCCCACAACTGGGGGATTCTTCTGTAGAGGTGGAATCATGTGGGTCGATGAGAAATGGGGGTGGGTGGAGGCAGTCTTTGTAAGCCTGTCCATCTCCATCCCCTTCTCCCTCCTCCAACCCAGGCCATGCACCATCTGCAGCCCACAGTGGGTCTTTTATCCACCTGCTGGTCGCCCAGAGCTCCCGCAGGACAGAGCCCACCAGGCAGACGAGCCCTAAACCAAGGCTCCACTCTGCTGCACCCTCTGGCTGGATCAGCAATGTTTTCATTTATGTTGCTATTGCAGATATTGTAAGGCTAAGTCTTTCCATGACACAGCAAACTCCATACTAATAGATGTCCTGCTGAGTACTGGGGCAAATAACAGACCACAGTCTCTCTCTCTCTCTCTCTACTGCAAGTAGCTGCAGAGGGATAGTAAACAGGAAATAATTGTTTTAAGATTGCAATTAGAAACCTGTTACCATCCAATACTGGAGCTACAACGATTAGTCGATTAATCAATTAGTTGTTAACTATTAAATTAAATTAATCATTTTGAGTACATTTTTTAGAAAAAATGTTTTAGTCCTTTTTGACAGTAAACTGAATATCTTTGGGTTGTGGACAAAACAAGAGATTTGAGGAAGTCACCTTGGGCTAAACAGTGATTAACATTTCTCACTATTTTCTGACAACAACTAATCAATTAATCGAGAAAACATAAACATATTAACGTATTATTCGATAATGAAGTCATTAGTTGCAGCCCTGCTTAATACAAAAGCACAACCATATCACGTGTGGTCTTCAAGAAATCTGCAGAAAAACAGACACCAAAATACTGAAATCATAAAGGTCTTTACTGTAGCACCTCTGCAACTTTACTATAAGGTTCAGTTGAATGAAAACAGGGAAGGAACATGACAAAAACTTGATTAATTGTGGTTAATCATCTGCACCCTGCAGCAGACGTGACCACAGTGTCTGGCTGACGTTTTGGGATGCTACTGGGTGTTCAGGGAGGGCAGGTACCTTCTGTGCATATAGAGGGTGTCTGGGTATGGACTCAGGTGTTTGATGGTGAGTCAACTGTGCTCCTGCTATCAATCTGCTCCAATAGATACCCTAATGGGATCTGGTAGAAGGTAGGCTGGTGTCCAGGATGACTCAGGACCTTCTGGACCACATTGGGTGTCACCGAATCACTGGCAGTGTTTGAGAGAGTGTTTCAGAGGTGCGTTCTCTTGTGGGTGAGCTGGCAGATGTTGGTGGAGTGGTTGGGCTGGGCTGTGGATGGTCTGGCCAGGGGGACTGGGCAGTCTCTGGATCAGCTGTATTTGCTCAGCTTCTTTGTCGGGGGTTGTCTGTGGGGCATTTCACTACTCACATAGTAGTAGTAGTAGTTCATCCTTTAAAGTCGCACAGAAGCTATACTTCTCCACCACATATGTCCTCTAAGGTAGAAACTTCATCAGTCCACACTCAGCAACCCACCACTGACAACACACACATATATTAGTATACGCAGACAGATTAATTCATACACAAAATATTAATGTCCACATTATGCTTAATTTTGTTCTCAGCCTTCATCCAAGGAGGTCAGACACACACACACACTTCATAATTTTTGGGTCACCAGTCTTGGTGTTTATACTCCTCTCCAACGCTCACTAGTGAAAACTACAAATGATGAAGAATATAACAGTATATAGTACAGAATGTTTGTTTCCTATATATTGCCGTGTTTGTTCTTCAACCCTCAATCATATTGTATGATTAAAACCTCTAGTTACAGAGGAACTTTATTGAGTTTGACAATAAAGAACTTTTCCCAGCAGGCATTTTGACATGAAATAACAGGGTAAACACAGGTGAATATGAGTTAAGGTTCTGTTCCATTCAGGTCCGATAGAGTCAGGGTGCTGCTACTGTGAATGTTGGCTCACTGGAGCTGTAGTCTCTGCTACACTGAATGGAACAGAACCTTAATTAGTTTCATTGATAACACCTAGTAAGTTTTTACCCTACTCTTTCATGTCAAAATGGCTGCTGTGAAAAAAAGGTCTATGAGCATCATACTAATATTAGTGGCCTCCTTCATTTGATAAGGCATTGTGTTCTTGCTGACAGGTATGAATATGTGTAGACATGCAAACACACATCCAGAAGGGGCCCTGAGGGAAGAATCACCAGTTTCAGACTACACTTATATGGATGTGATTGCTCAAAAACTATTCAGAAGTAAAGAAAAAGAGTACAGGGTGCAGTCTGTATCTTATATATTGTGGGTCATGTAAAAATGTATTTTTTGGGAGCCCGTTCTTTCAAACAGCCTCCCAGCAGCGCCTGCTATTCTTCACAGAGCAGCCATGACACGAGCAAAGACCCGACAGGCTTTCATAAGACGCCCAGAATATTTGATTTAAATCCAAGAAACACCAAGCACAGTGTAGTGCTGTGTTGTGTTTTTAACTGCCAAGTCTCTTGAAGCCTTTTGAATGAGTTGGCCTGCAATGACCTCGTACTTTAATGAGCAGTGACACTTGTGGTATTTACACTAGTCTACTATTTAATCCAAGAATGCCGGCTTGATAATTCTTGTGTCCTTGTGGCGATTGTCCTTCACAAACAGTCTTGAAGGACTATACTTCTCAGGATTGTAACAACAGAGAAGCATTCTTACAGTGTGAGACTTACTGTGTGCATTAAGTCACACACAATCAAATTAATTTGGTCACCTGTTTCAACCAGCTCTCAACAGTACTCTATAGGAGTTTGGGCATGATACGCAGTGAATCTTGCAACTTTTAGTTCGTTTTTGGCTGTCAAATCATCACATCACATGTACCCTCAGTTGGCGTCAAAAATCACAAGTTTTTTATCTTTTCTTTGACCTCTTTTCATTTGGCTGTTATATATGACAGCAAACCCTTGAACGAGGATGCAAGAATGTGCAAGAAGGCGATAGATTTGTAGTGTGTGATTCTGTGCAGCCTTCAATTTTGCAACAGAGTGATAAAACAAGGGAATATAAACTAAAACCACAATCTACTGCATGACCCACATTCTTAAGTATACTGTAAATAAGTCATTATGTTCTCTCAGAAACCAAACAAATTTGTGGGTTTAAAAACGCATCTGTTTATTAGGATTCCCCTGAGCTACCACACACAGTGCAGCAGCTGAGCCTCCTACACTTTGTTGTATGTCTGACAATGACTGCTCACATGTAAACCGACTGAATGGTGCTGCAGTGGAAGCACCTCGCACACCGTCTAATGTGTGTGTGTGTGTGTGTGTGTGTGTGCCCTAAGGTGCACGGTAATGGCAGGCAGGGGCGTGTATGAACCTGAACATCTGCCCAGGTTGATGCACTGCTCACCAGCCCCTCTCCAAGGTCAGGGCAGCAGCTCAGAGCTCTCGCACTTTCCCATGGGAAAACAAACTGACTGGAGACAAACTGCCAGTAGCACACTGCAAACAGACACCCTTGTGTGAGCAGGCCTCTCTCTTTCTCAGTCTGCACACACTGAAGCCTTCTGCTGCTCATTAGTCAGATGGGGGCCACTCAGTTAGACCTTGTTCTGTATAAAAACCCCATTTTAAGTTCCAAAACCAGCAATTGGATGAAACACCCAATTAATGTGGGGTACCATGATGCTGCTTCAGTTACGGGTCTCATACTATCAATTAGTTTTCAGGGGAGTCGGTCATTTCTTCCACTAAAAATAAAGTAAAAAGGCTGCACCTGCTGACTTCCATTACAAAACATTTGAATACTGCTGCAAAGAGAGAACTGGTTTTAATTACTGGATTTGTCTTTTCATCTCGGAAGAAATTTGCCTTTTTAAATCTGAATGAGCTGCGTCTTTTCACAGCAGAGATTGCAGTCGATGTGAAGGATGGTAGCTACGAGGTGTTGATCTCTCCTTGCACATTCGAAAGTAAGTGAGACTTCCCTCTAGCACACCTTTTAATCTAGGCGTCAAAATGAAGATGTGAAAAAGAGAGGAAAACAGCTTTCACAGTGATGGAGATTATTTACTGTGAAAGCAAAGGTGTGACAGAAATGTATATATGTATCTCTTATGACGCTACCAGTGTTATTTAATGTGCGCTCATGATAACGGCAGTCATTTTATAATCTTATATGCAACAATCTTGATTAATCTGGACAGTTTCGCTGTAGGTAGAGACTGTATCATGGTACACATGATACAGTTCAGCCCAGCAGTCCAGAAATAGTGCATACTAACTTCCTCTTGTTTCTGTCTTCCCCCGAAGGCAACCTGCATAACTATTCTGGCACACATGCTACTTAATAAAATACTGCTTCATGTCAGATCAGGGATCCATTGCAAGCACATTATCTTTACACATCTGGATCACTGACACAGAAAAGCAACAATCGGCACTCATGTTCAAAATATCTGGTTAGTGTGAAACAAACCTGTAACCTACCTGTCATTTTCCCCCAGAGGCTGGAGTCAGCTTAATTAATGTCTATAAATAATATATTATGGTCTATTACATATCTTTACTTAACTTTAGATTCCAGTTTTCAAAAAGGTTAGGATTTGGAGAAGAAAAAAACTGTCTGGGTATGAAGAGGAACCAAAATCTTTGAGCAGAAAATTGAAATCCCCTTGGGGTTAGGGCTCTCCAACAAGGGCTCTAGCTGCACATGACAAAGTAACACCATATGGTATGTGGACATCTCAGAGGAGGAAACTATCACTCTGAGTCCAGCACAACAGACCTATCCAAAATAATGACTGAGGGTGACTAATAATAATAATTCACTATTATTCATTCATGTTTGTTTTTTTTACACTAATTCACAACCACAGATATTCTGCTACAGTGTCATAAAATCTTATCAGGTGCCATCATGGGGTCCTTCATGAGTATAAGTCAGACAAGCCCTTTTCCTAAAGCGCCATGTCTAATACAAATGAGTATGTATGACCTGACCCTGATAACACCGCCTCCAGAAAACGTGAGTCTAATGCTGACCTACTGACTGACTTCCCTATATGAGCACATTATTCTAAATATCGGTTTGCAGAAACCCGATAAAACAGACCAAAGCCAAAAAAACTGCTATTAGCCTTCATAACCAAAAGCAGACCAGTGTCTTCCTCCTCTCTGACAGATTATGGGCTATATGGGCATATGCACCCAGGCAGGCAGGGGGGGGGGCGGAGGGGGGGTGAGGCTGCAAGTACACCGCATCTTTTGTCTGGTTGTGCCGAAAATGTAAAAAAAAAAAAAAAAAAAGAAGAAAAAAAAAGATTAAAAAAAACATGACCGTGTATCACATGCTCACCAAAAAAATGATATTCAGTGAGCAAGAATTTACAACTGGGCTCTGTGGGTTCATTCATATTCTGCTCCAGCAGCCCGGTGCCAAATCAACTGCAGCTCGGTGTACAAACCACTGCACAGCGCCTGACTTGGGTGCGCCTGCCGTCTCATTCATGTGTCTCAAGGGGGTGGGGTGGCAATAAAAAGCTGCTGGCGTCGACCAAAACAACCACACGAACAGCAGCCGAGCCCCTTGTGCAGCAAACTGGAGTGATATATGAGCCCGAGTGGACAGTGATTACAACCAGGGTGTATATGTGCATTTACAGAAGCCAGTCCAGTGGACGCAATACCCCTTTAAATATTGTCACCTCCACGTTAATGCGCCTCTATCCAGAAACCCAGACAAAAATCCACGCACAATACGGGCATGCTGCTGCGTTCAATAACGCGTAAATCCGTGAGCGCATTTCTACATGAGGCGCACTGACTCTCGTGGTTTTTCCTATAAGTCCATGCACGCAACACAGCAACCCACCTGCTTGTGTTGTATCGGTCAGATCGTAGCTCATCCCCGGGTACTCCCTCAGCTTCCTACCGCTCAGGTTCAGCAGCCCCGAGCACACGGCATCCTCCAGAGCCCGGTCCAGGCTGCGGGCCGTGTGGTGCTGCTGCTGGTGCTGGTACTGGCTGATACCCGGGCTCCAGTGAGGTCCGCTAGAGTAGTGATGGCTTTGTAGAGCCGTTACAGCTCCCACACCTCCCTGACTAGACGCCATTTTCGTAAAAAAGAAATTACTCTTACAATAATATCAGCGCACAGCGGCAGTCTCTCCGCCCATGCGCATACGGGGTACATACCCAGGACGGACGCTAGGGGATGGGCTTCTGAGGTGGTACTGCTGCTGCTGCTGCTGCTTGTGGTGATAGTGATGTTGAGTGGGGTATGGTGGCCATTTTAGGCTTTTACCCTTCCTCCACCTGCTCAAACCAAACTCCTAGCAGGGCCCCTGCTGGGAGCAGACAGGAGGCAAGGGCCCTTCATGCAGTCTAATAATCAGATTTCCTCAAATCTGGTCCCCAATGCCTGGAGGGCACTGGAGGGTTACTGACAAATTCTGCTTAATCACTGTGATCAAAACAATATCAGATGTTTACACAATGCTGCGTGTAATGTACTGCTATATCGTTCTGAATAGGATTCATAACATGACAATCAGTCTTTATGATATAGGAGATTATTTTTCAAACCATATATAAGCCTATGGCCTACTATTGTTCCCTGATTGTGGTTTATCCTCTCCTGCCTACTGGCGGTCCTGGTTAGGGAGTAGCTACTGGTAGACTGAAGAGTGGAAGCTATGAGCAAAATAAGCAAGATATGTCTGGGTCCAAATGGTAGCATTTTATTTCCCTCCTAATGTCACAAATGCCCCTCCCGTCAGCTCAAGCGTGTCTTATCTGCCCAAATGGTCCTCATGTCACCCCCTATTTGTCCTCTGGTTGTCCCAAACACACCAACCACACTGCCCCTCTGATCAGCCTTATATGGTGATTAAAAGATAACTTCAAATATGACAATACATTTTACTCTAGCCTTGACTTCCTCCATGTCCCATTGTTTCCAACACCTTTAACTTGATTAGTCAAAAATATGTTATCCTTTTTTCTCTCTAGAAAATAAATCACTCTTGATTGACCCATTGATGATTTTTGTTGGTGTTTTTTACAGTCAAAACTTTCTGACTTATGGTTTTTAATTAACCAGATACACTGACAGTACTTGAGATTTCATATTGGACATTTGGAGCTATGTGCAGTAATGGATTTCACGTGACTGAGTTACATAATCAGAATACAAAAGAAAGTAAAAAAAGATGTAGTCAGATTACAGTTACATTTAGGAGAAATAGGAATTATTAGAAGGACTAGTTTTTCTTTAAATGTACACTGAGCAGAGAACACATTTTTGATTTATTTTCAAAGATTACATTGTTCTATCGTCTTACATTACAACATCTTATTAATATTTATTTTCTCTTGTCTTTATTTGCATATTTGGTGTTGAGGTAATCCAAAAGTAAGGGAAAGTAAACAAGTAACGTTACTTTAATATTGTGATAATTAGGGTACTGACTACATTTTTTAACAGGTAATTAGTAACTGTATCGTATCACATTTTCAAAGTAACCCTCCCAACCCTGGCTGTATGCCACTTCTCATACATCTATTTGCAACCTCATCAAGAAGCCACCTTACGACCTTGTTTATATTGTTAGGCATTGTATATATTTTAAATATCTGTTCATTGATATTTTTAAACTTCCCCCCAGGATAAATAAAGTTCCATATCTTATGTAATGGACACAAATATAGGCCTATACAGTGACACTTCTTTTTAGTGCCCTGTATCAGATTATTTTACCACTGCAAATGTATGTGTATGTATGTATGTGTGTATGTATGTATGTATGTGAAAGATTAATGAAATATATTTCATGCTTCATAGTTAATATTATTATTTCTGAATGGCAACATATGAACTGTAGTTCATGGAAACCAGGAAGGAAAAATATCTAAACTTTTTTTGTCTAGTTTATAATGAAACATGTAATATTCATGCAAACAAATGATGAAATCAGATTTGTTATGGTTGATATTACATTGTGTTCAGACTGTTTCTGTCAAATAATTATAATAATAATCAAGAGGATAATTTGAGGAATGTGGGCGACATTTAAAGGGACTTTTTTAAAATAATTAATGCTTTTCTCTGTCCTAAAATACACATTTAACCCTACAAAAAACAACAGAGAAGGTGACACAAGCTTTGGGGCTGATGCATCCTGCTATAGAAGGTGACCATGGAAACATGACATGGAAAAAGCAGTCTATGAACTGCAGCACTAAACACACATAAAGACTTTTTTTACTTCACCAAAACAGTGAAATGTCCACTATTGTGAGCCTCCTTCCTGAATGAGAGCCGCACGGAGGCAGACCACGGAGGCGGACTGTGTGTGTTACCGTGCAGACCGAGCAGGAGGCGTCCCCGCTCCGCAGCTCCAGTCGGATATCTCGCCTCTTCATAGCATGGTGTGATAGAAATGAAGTTGTCGTCGCAACCAAAATGGTGAAGAAATAGAGATGACACACGTTGTAAGTTTCAGTTTCAGCATTAGCCATGAAGCTATATATTTATATATATATATATATATATAAATAGGTGTGTGTGTGTGTATGTGTGTGTGGTTTAATAGCCTCCTCTGGTGCGGTTAGTCGGTGCTTGTTGCAGAAAGCAAATATGAGACTGTTATGTTAGCTAGCTCAGAGGATTGCATGCACTGTGTGATATACCAGAGTTAGCAGATGATAGCGATTGGAAAGGGATGTATGAGTTGGGGGATTGTCGGGATAATGGAGATATACGAGCTGTGTTCAGCATTTGCTGGCTCTGAAAGGTTAACGCTGGGTTAGCTTTCCCATCTCACTTGAGTCCCAGCTAAGCTAAACAATAATGGTAGCTAACGTTAGCAAAGTGGAGTGATAGCTTATATTTAGTCCAGGCCTTTTAAACAGCGTTTGTGCTCCATGCTGACTAAAACAACCTCTGCAGCAGAGGACATACAGGGTATCTGGTATTATCAAATTCAGCCACATTACACTAAGTAATGGAGTTCATCTGCCTGGTTGTAGCTAACTTATTATGAGAGTGTTTGACATCTCAAGTTTTCATCCCCTCTGATTATTATGGGTTTTTCTGTAGCAATTTGCAATGCATAGAATCTAATACTATTCATAAATAGTTTTTATTAGATTCTGGTTTGTGTTGTTCAAATGTGCAAACTTTCAGTTGTGGCAGCTCCTTCTGTTTGTTTCACTCACCCACTGATTGTATGCATTATCTGACCAAAGACTGGGTGTCATAAATGATACAAATGAAAGTAAAATGACACAACAGTGTTGTTTTGCCCTCCAGTGTACGTCTGCTGTGGGCCCTGTCTGTCCCCCAGGGGACCAGGGAGGTGTCTTACTGTTTATTCTTCGCCAGTGACCCTGAAAGTGATGCACAGTTTGTACACATAACATAAAGGGTGTGAGAAAAGGATGCATATAATGGGATTTATAATGCAACAGAAAAACAGTTTGAGGTAAAATGATAAAAGTAAGGAGATGTTAAACAATAAATTACTGAATTGATTTGTACAAATTTGGCATTTTGACAGTAACCTTTCCATTGCTGTTTTATTTGTTCATTTGCAGTTCGAGTATGGCAGACAGAAAGGGAAAACCTGCCACTCCAATTAAAACACTTACGAAGAAAGAACAAGAAGAGCTCAAGAAAAAGGTATGGAGGTTGGAGAAGTTATGATATTGGATTTGTTTCCCAATAAAAACAAATATAGTTAAATAAATGTATATTAGTAACCCGTTTATGATCTGAAAATGTTGTATTTGATCAGCAGTGAAGTGAAGGAAGGGATGTAATACATATACTGTGCATGTTTCCTTGTGTGTGTCTTGCTTCTAGGAGGAAGAAAAAGCAGCAGAGGTTTTTGAAGAGTTCTTGGCGTCATTCGAGACCAGTGAGAAGGGCGGAGTGAAAACCTTTGTCCGTGGGGGTATCGTAAATGCATCTAAAGGTCAGCAGCCAGACTTTATCTAGCGTTATGATTGGATGCAGCATGTCTGAACAAAAATATGAAACCGTGAGTTATTATCTGCTCCAGTAATGTTAAACTGAATTACCTGGACATCTTAAGAGAATATAATTATTAAAGCATATTGGGCTGGCTCAGCAGCGGAATAGTTTTTACAGGGCCCGTATCTTTTGAATGGTGGAATAAAATTAATCCACTCTGGGGGACCCATAGTCAGCAGTCCATTATCACTTTTAATTAAAGAAATAAAGCTTGTCCAATACTGAGCAGTTCTTCAACTTACTGTTACACATAATCCCTTTAATTTAAATATTAACTGCAAACACAGCAGCAAGGAACCGCGGTCAATCTGTCTGCCTTATTCTACAGGAAGAAGGAACAAAAGAACAGTGGCCCTCCTCCTGTTTTTACAGACCTAAATTACTGTTACCTAATGCTTTGTTGGATATTCAGTGTTCAGGGATTGCTATACTTTTTGCAGAGGATGAAGCAGAGGTCAAGAAAAGTAAGCTGTATCGACCTGGTACGAAGTTTGTCCCCGTGCCCCAGCATGTCTCACCAGTATCATCTGCTGAAAGCAAAAAATCTGTAAGTTTGTCCTCTGATGTAATGTTATAAACACTGAATACAGTATAAATGGCACCTCACTAGTTACACGTATCTTTAAATGTCGCTCATGATCTCTCACTTTGGTCAGTGCAGTTGTACAATCAGTCACATATAACAATAATGCAATAACCACAATTGTTTCCTGTTTTATCAACAGACATTTAAAAGAAAGACTGAAGAAAAGAAAAAGAGTAACCTGGAACTCTTTAAAGAAGAACTTAAGCTGTAAGTCTTTTTGCAAATGTGCCTGATATCATGTTTCAGTTCAGGCCGTTGATATCTTTGTGGCTTGCGTAAGCCTATTTTTATGTTTAAAAAAAATGCAGAATACAAGAAGAGCGTGAGGAAAGACATAAAAGGAAGAAAAATGACCCGGGCGTAGGAGGAGGAACAGGAGGAGGGGGAGGAGGAGGATACGGAGATCTGGACATGCCATTGTCAGGACGATCAAGTAAGAGTCCCTCTAGGTCATCTAAGTAAGAGTCCCTCTTCAAAATAATATTTAATATTAGTTGAAAATTGCTAACACCTAAATCATGCTAACCTCAATCCTGTTTTTCC